ATATATATTTTCTGTCTAAGGAAAACCAGTTGATCTCATCGACTCATTGACTCAAATGCAGTCCCTCATACTAAGCATGCTTGTAGCGACAGTGGAGAGGAAAAACTCCCTTTTAACAGGAAGAAACCTCCAGCAGAACCAGGCTCAGTGTGAGCGGCCATCTGCTGAGGCCGACTGGGGTTCAAGGAGACAGAAGCAGAGATAAAGAAGCAACTCAAAATGCGACCCAGTTCTCTTTACCATTTATAGATCTATCAGACAGCATGGAATTAGCTTAAAATATTTTAGGTGGTAAGTAGTTCTTAAACCATCTGGTCTAACAAGTTAAACTTTGATGGTTAGCAACTCAACCTTCTGCCTAATATTAGTCTTTGTTCTGAACCCCAGTTTTGGACTTTGACATAACAGAAGTAGAGATACAGAAAGCAGCTGTAAAAGGTCCAGGAAACACACAGCCAGGCAGACGAGCTCTGGGCCAACTCCCATGTCAGAGGATGAAGAGAGCACATCCAGCCATTCACAGTCAGAGAAACAGGACTACACTGAAAAACAGGCCAAGCTACAAAATCTGTAAAGAAAGGTGTTGATGGCAGCAGCACAGCTGATATTTCTCTCCAGGATGGAGTCACAGCCAAACAGGAACAGACCAGCTATTATGAGAAAGAGCAGTTAGAGATTGAACTAACAGATTCAGCAGAGTGGGAGAATAAAGATAGAATGAAGCAGAATGATGAAAAAGGGGTCCCTGTGTCCTCCAGCAGTCTAAGCCTATAGCAGCATAACTATAGAGATAGCTCAGGGTAACAAAATTTAACAAAAATAAAACAAAATCTAAAACAAGAGAAAGCATTTTTCTGATTAAGTAGATTTATGCTTTACCAATATTTGACATGGAAATATTGAAACACCTTTCTTTAAAGAATCAATACACCAATAAATGCTTGAATGTGTCATATTGAACATATGGAGGGTTGAAGGGGACAAAATAAAAAAATGTATCATGAAATGAAAACATTTAAACATAAAATCAATGAACAATAAATGGTACCTTTAATTCATTAATGGAACATGAAATGAAACATTTATTTCATTTTATCTTAAATTGGTACGTGTATTTATATAATGGTTCATTTTATGAAACATTTTATTAGTTTATGATGTATGAAATAAATAAATTAGTTTATTTATTTCATGGGATATTTAATGGTCTATTTATTTATTTCATTTTACATTAATTTATTTTGTGATACATTTATTTAATTTTGTCTCCCTTAACCCTCCACACTAATAATCTATAATTGCATGTACTTCCAATTATGACACGTTTCATATAAATATTAATGCATTTCTTTCTGACATGGTGTCCTTTATGCCCTCAGGCAGGTATCAAAGTGAGAATGAGGTCAACGCATCTGACGACCTGGACTTCAGACACCACAACTATAAGGATATGAGACAGGTTTTATGCTGGCTGAGCCTCCTGGTTTACCTCTGGCTGACGTAAACCAGCTCTGATCTCATTCCCTCTTTCATCGCTTCGTTTTAGATGATGAAGGTGATCAATGAGGAGTGTCCAAATATTACCCGGATCTATAACATTGGGAAAAGCTCCAAAGGCCTTAAGATGTATGCCATGGAGATCTCCGACAACCCTGGCGAACACGAGGAAGGTTGACATTTTTTCTTCTCTATTCAACGGGTCATTCACTTTGTTCTATTTTTTTGTGAGCTCACTAGCTTCACACCCTTAATGCAAATCTGTCCCGATTTTCTGAACCATCGTTAGGAGAACCGGAGTTCCGTTACACAGCCGGTCTCCATGGCAACGAGGCTCTGGGTCGGGAGCTTCTCCTGCTTTTGATGCAGTTCCTTTGTAAGGAATACAAAGATGACAACCCAAGAGTTCGACGCCTGGTAGATGGAGTGAGGATCCACCTGGTGCCATCGCTGAACCCAGACGCATACGAGCTGGCCTATGAGATGGTGCGGTCAACCAAGACTCATAGGGAGTCAAATTTGTTACATTAATTTGGCAAGCAAAATGCTACTTTTGTGAGATAGGACTTTTTGGGTTTTCATGAGCTGTATGCCAAAATCATCCGTATTAAGACGATAAAAGACCTGAAATATTTCAGTTAGTGTGCATTGAATCTAAAATATATGAATGTTCAAGTTTGGTCATTACATTATGGAAAATAATTAACTTTATCACAATATCCTATTATTTTGAGAAGGACCTGTATATGACCGCCATTGTGGAAAACGACTCGTGAAGATGGACCAGCTAGAAGAGCGAGGTGCGCAAGAACGCTGGGACCCTTTGCCCTTATGTCTCTCCGATGTCGCACAAACTTGCCCCCACATCCTCACCGCCTCAGCCCTATCTAGACCCACAGCTAGTTCCTGATTGTCCCTCTTGCATTTTGGCGTGGAATTACATATCGCAGACCACGCTTTAAAATTTAGCATAGATCAAAAATGTCTGTGTCATACCTTCGACAAGCTCACTGCGACAAACTGTTGCGTGAGTATAACCAGCCCTTTAGTCCTTGTCGCGGATGACCCGGGTTCGAATGCAGCCTGTGGTTCTTTGCCGTAAGTTTCTCCTCCTCTCTCATACCCCCATTCCTGTCAGCCTACTGTCCAAACAACAGCCACTAGTGCTGTAAAAAAAAAAAAAATTAGCAGTAGTGGATCTTGCAACTGTCTGGCCCAAATGCAGAGAGTTAATTTCATACATCAAATTGATTCAAAGTTTTCTATCTAAGGAAAACTAGTTGATTTTATCGACTCATTGACTCTTCAGCAATCCCTCCCACTAAGAATGCTTGTAGCGACAGTGGAGATGAAAAACTCCCTTTTAACAAGAAGTAACCTCCAGCAGAACCAGGCTTAGTGTGAGCGGCCATCTGCTGAGGCCGACTGGAAGTTTGCAGACAGTCAGACGAAGAATGGTGAATTGACTTGACAAAGTCAGCTTTTGGGAAGTGGATACAAAAAAAGAAAGTCTAATCAGGGCTTACAGATGCAGGAAATGACAGGAGTTGAGGTTCATCACACTACTAAGCAGAATCATCTCTGGAAATCGTGTTGGACGGTAGTGAAGCTAGTATTGAATGTTTAGAAAGGCTGACTGTTAGCAGATGACGCGGTCTGCTCATGCGCACTTTGTTATCTTTGAACCGAGCCTGTGTCTGGCACAGTCCAGTTTAGTTTTGTGTGCTATTTACACTCAACCGTTTTCTCGGTTACCATGCATGGACCGATCTCAGCACGATTTCAAAAGGGTAGTTGAAATGGGGCCTTAGTGTGGGGTTTGTAATAGAAATAGGTGTGGTTCTGGGTTATGGCACAACAGCAATTATTTAACCCTCTATTTGTAAAAAGGCTTTTGACATTGTCCAGCTTAACCTATATGCCAAAGCTACTGTTCAAAGTGTTCGTGTTTGATCTTTTAAAGCGAAATGTGACAAGTCTCTGTTGAATAACAGCAATGTCAGTAACTTAAACTAAAAACGTGAACACGGTTTTTCACAATTCCAGGATAAAGAATCAGTCATTAAATGTCCTCTTTCTGTACCTCAGGGCTCTGAGATGGGAAACTGGGCGCTGGGCCACTGGACTGAGGAAGGTTATGACCTCTTCCAGAACTTCCCGGATCTGAACAGCATCTTGTGGGGAGCTGAGGACAGAGGCTGGGTTCCTCGTATAGTGCCCAATCATCACATTCCACTGCCGGAAAACTACCTCAGTGGTTCTGTGAGTCTACAGACACCAGGAGCTTTTTTCTGTTTTGATTTTTATCTTTTACATCTGTATTAATAGTGTTTCGTTACTTTAGCTCGCAGTCGAGACTAAAGCTATAATTTCATGGATGGAGCGCACTCCATTTGTGCTTGGAGCCAATTTACAAGGAGGAGAGAAAATGGTGGTTTACCCTTTTGATATGCAGCGTCCTCCAATTTCTGTAAGTCTATCAGAACTTAACGCATGTAAGATGTTGAGCAGTATGAGCATGATGACTCTGTACCGTCCTTCTATGTCAGTTAACTGACAGCCGGCGTTGGAGGGCTAATGCTGAGATGAACGAAGAGACCTGGGCTCGGATTCAGCGGCAGAACGAAGGAGCCCTCAGGGAGACGGCCGATGACGCCATGTTTCGCTGGTTGGCGATGTCGTACGCACACAGCCATCTGACCATGACGGAGACCTACAGGGGATCCTGTCACGGCGATGATGTCACTGGAGGGCAGGGGATCATTAACAGAGCCAGCTGGAAGCCTGTGGTGGGCAGTAAGTAAAATATGGCAAACAGACCATAGAGGACTGTTCTAAGGTTTGGATGGGCAGATTGGCAAGGAAAACGTTTAAATCTCCTGAGGAGGCTAAAAAGAGAAAATGTGAAAGGAATCATGCCCAAGGAAAAACAAGAGTCAATCTTGGAAAGGAGTTTGTCCGTTGGCGCAGGCTGATAGAAGAAGCTGGATGTAAAACTGATTCTGTTTTCTCAAATTTTATTATTAGACTGGTAAGTTAACACTCCTAGTTTACAGTCATATATCTTTGCTATTATATTTAGTAGAAGCATAATACGGGCAGAGAACGCTAGCAGGCTACAAACAAAAGGTAACCGAGACCCCCTCTCCGACCTAATGGCTCTTCACTGGATCTTTGTGTGGCGCAGCGTGGTCCGGCCTGCCCCGGCGGTGCTGGTTATTGACTTTTGCCACACTGCTGTGGTGATTGTGGCCACTAGGGGCGCTAGACCTGTAAATTTCACGTCTAGCGCCCCTAGTGGCCAACAGCTACAATGTTTTTCCTTTAAAAGTTAGAGCAACAACTTTTTTATCAAAGCAATAACTTTGTTAAAAGTAATTAATTTAGAAAATGTCATCATGCTACAAAATAAAAGTACTGTTATATCGAAGAAAATAGATCTATAGTATGTAGATAATTAATTCATATTTTTTGACTAGTCCAAAATATAAATATTAACTTTTGGTTATGATGCCAAAAGATTCTTTACTAATTGGTTTAGTAGGCTAAAGTCACATAAGACGGCGTTCAGATGTTTCCAGATCCTAGTAGCTCCAGAATAGCCTTGAGAAATAGCTTCCCATCGGGATCACGGATGTTCAGGCTGATGTTAAGCATTAGTTGCAACTTAAAGAAGCAAAAGAGCTCAGAAACCACATGGAAGATGCTTCTTTTCTTCTGAACAGGTTTCTTCTGAACAGGTCTGAACAGGTAAATGACCTGGCAGGGAGATGGTCACTGCATTCAAGCAATGATCTCTGCTGCTGCAGAGCTATCAGCATGATAGTTTTTTTTAAATTATGCTGACAGTATAATAAAGTTTAAATAAAGAAAACTAGTGTATGTATCTTTGCATGCACAAAAAAAGTGGGAGAGGTCTGGTCCCTCTACTCAAATAGATTGTTACTGGACTATAGTGAAACAGTTTATAGATACCTAGATAAAATGTAAAAACTTGACGGAAAAAATATGTTTGATTTTATATTCTTGTACTGTCAGTTTTTACCTCGTTAAAAAATATTTATATTCACTTCAAGCAGAGGTGACAAAAGTATTAATGTTTATTACTCAAGTAGAAGTATAAATCCTACCGTTTAAAAACACTTTCATAGAGGTTAGACTATCAACTTAAGCTTTTTACTCAAGTAAAAGTGTAAAAGTACCATTTTTAAAACTAAAGTAAAACTAATTACTTAATTAATTAATTAATGTAAACCTTATTCTGGTTACTGCACGACCGTATTAGAGAATTTTGTTTTTACAATTCTGGATGATAACTTCCTTATACTTAATTTTCTTAGTTTTATAGCTAATGTGTCAATTTTAACTTTGCATCATCTTGAAAAACTATTTATTTTGTTATGTGAAGAACAACAAGTTGGTGCAGCACCGAGTCCAACCATAATGTAATTAATTGTCTGGATGAGACCAATTATTTTGATTGTTTTTGTTTTTTAAATACCAACAGACCAAAAGGAAAATTGGCTTAAATGAAACAAAAATAACAAGTCTATTTTAAAAATGTAAAGAGTAGAAGAAAAAATGTGTCTAAAAAAGAATGAATCCAGTATAGATAGCTGGCTGCTTAGTGGAGCAGTGGGTAGCACTGCTGCATTGGAGTTTGAATGTTCTCCCTGAGCATGCGTGGGTTCTCTCTGGGTACTCCAGCTTCCTCTTACAGTCCAAAAACATGATTGTTAGGTTAGTTGGTTTCTCTTAATTATCCTTAGGTGTGTGTGTGTGTGTGAATGGCTGTTTGTCTTGTTTGTGTTGCCCTGTGATGGAATGGTGACCTGTCCAGGGTGGACCCCACCTCTCGTCTGTAGACGGCGGGAGATATGCACCAGCACCCCGCACGACCCCTGCAGGAATAAGTGTGACAGAAAGGAATGGATGGATTGAAGTATAAATAGCCAAAATTTCTACTTAAGTAAGAAAATTAAGTATTTGCACTTTTTTACTGAACACTTCTAACTTCAAGCCGCTACAAATGACAACAGCTATCGCTGGATTCCCCGTTCCAGCGGGGGTCCGCTGCTCGATCAGCTACAGAATATTCAACTTTCTCCTGACAAAATATGGTGTCAACATGTGTCTGACTTCAAATAGCACAAGTGTTTAAGATCAGGTACTGGATGCCATTATGATGTTTAAAATATGTTAGAAAAACCTGGGAACTGGCTACTTAACAGCACAGAACTAGAGCAGGCAGAAGCTCAAGAGCCACTTACTGAGCACTAAAACGAACCTTAGCCCTTTAAGTGATTATTAGCAATAAGACTGATAATACTTTTTAAACATGTTACATCAGAAAAAGACTAAATTTTTTATAAATTCTAGGTCTTACCTGTAAGGTAGGTTAAAGTCCTAAGCAATACATTGATTTACCAGAAAGTAAAAGTATATANTGTGGCACTTTATATTAGTGACGTGGTTTTAATTAATGAATGACACATTTATTTATTTAATTCCACATTTAATTAATTATTGACACATTTATTTATTTATTTCATGCTGTATTTATTTATTTAATTTTGGCACTTTTTATCCTCCATAGTATGGTTGGTTAAAGTCCTAAGCAATAATTTGATTTACCAGAAAGTTAAAGTATATAAAAGACATAAACGTTTCATTTTTCTCTTAAATAATTTGTAAAGATCTCTCTAAACCATAAACTCCATGGACTTCTTCCACAGGTATGAACGACTTCAGCTACCTGCACACCAACTGCTTCGAACTCTCCATCTTTCTGGGTTGTGACAAATTTCCCCATGAGAGCGAACTGCCACTAGAGTGGGAGAACAACCGCGAGGCTCTTCTGTCCTTCATGGAGCAAGTGAGAACCACTGTGTTTAAATTAATTTAAATCAATTAATCAAATTAAATCAATCAGAAAAATAAAATTTAAAACATGTTTTGTAAATGTAAATTTTAAAAAAAATCTTTGATTTAAAAAAGTTAACTGTTGAACTGTGTTTTGTTTTTTGATCAATCTTTCATATTTTACATTTAAATAAATATCACAGATTTTATATTTTAAAATATTATTTCAAACATTTTGTCTAATTTTTTACAGGTTTCATATTTTGAGCCCAGTGCAAACACACACTCTGGACCAATAAAAATGCTGTTGCTCATTTTCATGCAGACCAATAGAATCACATCTTTGCCCCTAACTGTAGAGGAAAGCCCGCCCTACAGGTGATCTGTAAGATGCAAATAAAAAAAAAAAAAATTAATTATAACTATCAAACTGGAACCAAGAAATTTGAAAAATAAAATTCGAAATCCTATAATCTGAAAAAAAAGCATCTAAATAAAATATGAAAATAAAAACAATCATTTGAAAATATATCATTTAGAGTACAGGAAAGTTACTCTCAAAAGCCTTTTTTTTTATTTTGAAGCATTCAAACGTAATTTTTTTCCTCATTTTCATATGACTGTACAATAAAGTAATTTTATCACAACAACCTTATGCTCCAATATTGTTTCATGCAGAGAGCACTGTGTTTAAAGGAATAATTTGAAAGAAAAAACTAATGTATACCTGTTTTGTAAATGGAAATACAAATATGGGATCATGGATTGAAAGTTATAAGAAAAAAAAAATATATATATATATATATACATAAAAAAATACTTCTGGATTTTTTTAATCACAGATTTTATATTTTAAAATTTTATTTAAAACATCTTGTCAAATTTTTTACAGGTTTCATATTTTTAGACCAGTGCAAACACTCGCTCTGGATCAATAAAAATAGAATCGTATCTTTGCACCTAACTGTAGAGGAAAGCCCGCCCCACAAATCAATCTGAAAAAGTTAAATCTGAAAAATTAAACTTGAAATTCTAAAATCTGGAGAAAAAAAAAGAAAGAACATTGAAATAAAATGTGAAAATAAAAATAATAATTTGAAAATATAAAATCTAGATTACAGGAAAGTTACCCTCAATTTTTAATTTTTATTTTGAAGCTTTTAAAGGTTATTTTTCTCTATAGATTGACTCTCTAAATTCCCTCGATACAACTTTAGACAACACTGATGTCTGGTTGGATCTTTACCCTTCAGATTTGTTGAGAACCAAAGGATTTGAGATTTAACTAACACCAATCTTTCAAACTGCACCAGTTGTTTTTGATGGATTTCAGTAAACAAAACAAACTATGAGTTAGGAGTATACAGCCTCTATATAGTTCAATGGATCTGACCAAACTGAAAACATTGCCTTCTACTTCCTTTATCTTTTTTTCCAGTCTTCTGTCTGTTCACTTGAAACTTTCAGTATCAGATAATTTATATTTAGACAGAATTTTGCCCTGAGAATATTTTCCTTGGTTCTGCAGGTGAATCGAGGAATAAAAGGCATAGTGAGAGACATGGAGGGAAACCCGCTGCCTAATGCTACGATCTCTGTGGAGGGCCTCCGGCATGATGTCAAAACCGGTATGTCAGGATCCAACACATAAAACCACACAGCTGGAAAAAAAAAAAAATCCTGCACGAATGGTTTCACTATTTTTGGCACCAAAGAAAAACCAAAGGAAAAGAAACTTGGAGTAAAACAGTTTCATGCAGACAAAAGCTGAATCACTGTTTAATCAAATTGAGACGAAAAGCCATGGTGTCCAAAGTGAGGCTCGAGGACCATTTGCAGCCTTATGTCGGAGTTCTGCCAAATGTGCACATGTGTAATAAATACTGATCTGAACAGTTTTACCTAAAACACACTGATGTAAACTACTCCTCAAGCATTTTTAACCTTCTAGGCGTGCAGATCCAATGTAAGGAGCTCCCTGATATATCACTAACAGGAGTCCATGCTCCTTGTCTGCATTCCTGGCTTGCTTTTATGCTCCAGTAGATTCAAAAGTTAAGAAATTGGTTTTCCAACTTTGCCTAATAGAAAATATTATTGTGTTTTTAACAGTGGTGTCAAAAGTACAAACATTTGTTACTTAAGTAGAAGTATAGATACTGCTGTTTAAAAACACACTGGTAAATTAACTTGACATCTTTACTCAAGTAAAAGTGAAAAAGTATGAGCTCCAAAAACTACTTAAAGTATAAAAGTAGTAGTAACAGCTAGATGCCTCTATATGAATTGAAAGCTCAGTTTTGAAAAATTCTTTGAGATAGGGCCAAGGATGAGGAAGGTCTTGTTGGTCTCCGTCTCCCGTTACGCTCTCGCCTGTGTCTGATCTTTCAGACATTTCAACATGTTTTTCTGAATCCTACATTGTAGCATGGCATAGACAATTCATGTTTGCAGTTTGAAGAACACCTGCTTGCTTCTGATGATTTCCTTTAGCTAACCAATGAGTGTTTGCGTTCTATGACTCATCCAATTACACTAGTTTTCACTAGATATGGATGGAGCCAATGATCTGCATTGGATGGAGCGGATGACATGAAATAAATATTTATAAACATTAAACCAAAGCTAAGAGCAACGAGTAACGTTCTTAGCCACAGGTTAAAGACCACTGGTCTAGAACTTCCACTGGTTACAGGTATAGCGCCCTAGCCTGACGTAGTCCTACTCAATTCTAGTCAGAATATGAGTCTGATACTGCTCCATAGAGCTGTGATTATGGGGCGTGTTTCGAACGAACCAGGAAAAAAAATGCCTCTGCACTCAATTGGATAGACCTACAACCAATAAGAGCAACGGAGTGCGTGACGTATGTTAGGCGATGCATAGTTGTTGTCAACAAAAATCAAAGTGTGAGCCTTGATCGCGTTTCTCTGTTTCTCTTTTAAAAGTAATTTGCTGTCGATATCTTCTAGAACAGACCTAATAGCAGAATCTACTCACCTCAACTCTCCAGAGGCAGCCATTGTTGTTGTCACCCAAGCGCGCTTTGGTCACGTGGTTGATTACGTTACTCTTGATCATCTGTCCATCATCGTATAAAGCCCGCCCTGACAATTTGATTGGCCCGCCAGATTTTGTGCGAGCATACTCGCGCTAATATTGAGCAATGCCAGACCGAACTTCCCGACCTCAAACGTTGTGGGCGGGACTAAGTTCGGAATGACACCCTGGCTAATAGCGCCCCTAGTGGCTAAACGTTACATAGAGTTGCTTTAAATAAAGCTGAACAAAGTGAAAGGGAAACTCATTCTCTTGTTGATGAAAAAAAATCCAGACTAAGATAGTGACACTGAAAGCCTTCTTTGCTTTCTTTTTTTGCAATAGGCAAACATAGGCTACCTTTCTTGTTGTGTTTATGCCTACAAGGATTTACTGGTCATTTTTTTCTAGAGAAATTGGTCTAATTTCCTTGTTTGATTGAAATGTTGAAATCTTAATCGCTGTTTCTTGGTCAGCGGGATGTTCTTCATTCTTTGCTTTAAATTAAAATAATTTATGCCTTTTCTTCCAGTTTACGGTTAGATGCTAACTCGTGTTGTTCTTTCACATAAAACCCCTCATTGTTAAAGTAACTATTTCTGGTTGTTGTCATTTTCTTCCTCCACTTGTGTCTCTAGCTGCCAGCGGGGACTACTGGCGGCTGCTGAATCCTGGAGAGTACAAGGTGACGGCCAAAGCAGACGGCCACACCTCCCACACGCGGCTCTGCATGGTCGGCTACGACACCGGAGCGACCCCCTGCAGTTTCACCTTAGCCAAGTCCAACTGGGACCGGATCAAAAGGATCATGGCTCTGAATGGGAACAGGCCCATTCGAGTCGTTCCAAAAACCAACAGGTTGAAGGCGACTGTGTCGACTACTGGGGCGCCGCCCACCACCACCACAGTAGCATACCCTCGGGCCAACCCTCAGAGAGCTGAGCGACTCAGGCGGCTCAGACTGATGCGCTTACGACGACTGCAAGCCAGAAGGTCAAGAGGCAGGATCTCAACCACCCCCCCGACTACGACAACAACAACAACAACAACCACCACAACAACAACAACACAGCCACCAGAGACTGAGAGCACGACCTCCTGGTACGACTCCTGGTTTCCTGTGGGCAGCTGGACAGAAAACCCGTTTGACGCCTTCTTATTTGACTCGGCGCCCACACAGGAATATAACTTTGAATATAAAATTGATTAAAACACATTAAGGCCTATCTCTCATCAATAACCACAAACTGGCACTGCAGTCTTTCAGCTTTTTCTGTTTTTAGGAATCTTTATGGAGTGAGAGATGCACCGAGAAACTGGTGGATTTTTAACACTAAACCCTGATCAGTGACCAGATATGGAGTGAATTCTGTTCCATTATTGTTGGAAGAAAAGAAAACTCATTGTGAACAGAAATGTTAAACAAGAGAGAAGATTTTATTTAATAAAATGTTTTTAATATTTGTTTTCGCAGATATTGTTTTTTAGGGGTCTTTTTCTATTTTTCACATTTTAAGTTTTTAAATGTATAAATTTTTTTTTTTTTTTACAATTTGTTATCTTAAATATTTTTAAATGTTTATTCTTTTATTTTACGTGTTCTACATTTCGATAAATTTTTATTTCTTTTTCAGATTGAGTTTAACAAATTTTATTATTGTCAAGTTATATTACTCTATATATGGAGGCCTGAAATATTCATAATTAAATCAATAAAAACCAAATTATGAAATGAATAACAGAAAAAATATATAGTATAGCCATGAAATTCTGAAGAAAAACGATTTTAAAAATATAATTAAAAAATTAACTATTATTCAAAAATCTAAATTCAGCACAAAAAAAGTTAAAAAAAAATAACATTTGAAAAATATTAGTTTGAAATAACAAGTGGAAAATTTCTGGATATTCTTTTTTTATTTTTTTTTTTCAAATGTGGATTTAAAAATCTGTTCTTCGCTTGCAACAATAATGGAACAAAATTCACTCCATAAATTAGATCGTTGGGAATGCTGATTCCGATACCTCTCTGGTCATTAAATGCACCATAAAGTCTTACAGGTCAAAATAACAGAGCTATTCGGTGTGGAAGTTGACTTACCTGAGAATGAGGGCAAAACTTGATGTAGTGAGTAGAATATTATAGTAGTAAAACGAAGTCAGACGAAGCACACAGATCTAAGAAGTTGTATTTTACATATTTTTCAGACATTTGTGATTTATTCAGGCTGAGAAAGAGACATTCACAACATAACAGGAACTCACTGCAGCAAAGTTAGTTTTATCCTTTTGGTTTTCCAAAATTCTTTAAACATGCTGTGAATGTTGGCAAATGTCTGAGAATCTCCTTTTTTGTCATAAATATGAGTTAGTTACTGGAGACCGATGTTTAGTTACTAATGCCAACCAAATTAACCACTGATATGAGGCCAGACACAGTTTAAAGCATGCCTTCTGTTTGTTATTGCTTTAAAAGGTATAATACTACAAGGTTCTGCCAAAGATGCACATATATAATAAATATAGGAGCAGTTTTATTTAAAACACCTAAACGTGTCTGGATTTAATACCATGAGGCCCCCAGTGTGCCACATGCATGACTCCATGCTTCGCTGCGCTCTCTTGCTTTTTATGTTCCTTCCTACTTTCACGTGGAACATTTTCTGAGCTCATGTCAATTTTGGTCACTTTGATATGGAGCTAAATCGGTCTCACACAATGATTCACGCAAGCACAAAAAATCCACACATACACAGTACAAGATCCACACACACTCACAGCACGATACTTTCTTGTGATTGGCTTATACAAGGGAGCACTGTAATTGGTTGCAAACCATCCGGTTTAAAAAAATGCATTTGTGTATCAAGGCATGTCAGGAGAGTCAAAAATCCACACACAAATGCAGAGCAGTTTAAAGACCAATGGTACTTACTGTAATTTAATTCATAGTTGTTTATGGACCAGAAATACTTTGGCGAATAATGTGCTGTGCATGTGTGGATCTTGTATGCTTGCCTGAATCCTGCTTTGTGTGTGTGGATCTTGTCCTTTTCATGTATGAATCACATATGTGTATTTGTGAAAATTGTGAGGCCGATTTAGCTCCATACATTGAGGGGGAAACCAACTGAAGAAATAAACTGCCTGTGATTGGCTACTTCTCAGGGAAAGTCGTGTTAGCAAAGCATCTTCAGGCTAATATCTGTTCTCTTTAAGGGTAAAAACTGTTTTAATGATGTCATCATTAAATAACTTCATTTA